CTTGTAGTAGGTCTAGTAGGTGTTTATTCATATGCAATACCAGAGTTGATTAAACCATCTTTCTGTCTCTCTCCAGAACTCCAATGTGGAGAATTTGCCTCCTCATGTTCTTCGCTTGGTCTACAAGGAGGTTTCAGCTTTAGCAGCAGACCCGCCTGAGGGTATCAAGATTTATCCCAGCGAGGAGGACATAACTGAGCTACATACAGCCATCGAAGGACCGGGTAAGGATTGCAATATGGTGTCAGACCAAACTGGCATTGGTTATGATGAGCTGAATAAAAAATATGTGGCACTACTAAGTTTGATGGACTTGCATTGAACTCACACTGGCCTGCACCTCACTGTGTTTGTATTCTCAGAGTAAGAAATTGTTGACTGAGAAGACACAGTATATACAGCGGAGAGATGGATCCACTATATTGTCTTTTATTCATTAAAGTTTTCTTAATCTTGAGCAGCAGTGCTCTTCAGATCTCAGTATTAATTCCGATCTTTTTCCGTCTCTCTGAGAGACTTTTGTTTTTTTTAGCAAATTACATGTCTGAAACCCTGGTCAAATGGAATTACAGAAAGGTCAACACAGACCATGTATTTCTACATTTTATCGACTGCACATGCTATCACTCACATTGTTCTGGAGCTTAACATATACTTCAAAGGTCAACTTAAAGTTCTAAGACAATTTTATCCTCCCCCTCACTCTGAAGTTGTTCTTAAAGTAAAAATTATTTAGTTTTGAAATTTCATTTATGTTGCGTCTGCGTCATGCTTGCATCTTACAATATACTGAGGCCCCCTCCCCCACCACCACCACCACACATTATGTTAAATAGCCTGATAACTATTTGGCACTGAAGACAGATTTCACTTGACGACCAACCTTTTATCATCAAGCTGAGGTAATAACAGCTCTCGCCCGTCAACCCCCCCCCCCCCCCCTTAAGATGGGTAATGCGTGGTTGAGACTACACAATATCAGCCCAATTATAGTGTGACCCGGCCATCGTAGTGTATTATCTGTGTCAGTAGATGGTTTTATTACGTACAGTGTGTCATAGAAGTTACCCCACATTGTGTCTGGAACGCCTCATGCCCTCCCGATAATAAGATGAACATGTTAGAGGGGTTTTTTTTGCCTTCCACGACATGTTCTCTCACGACCATGACTTTGTGTAATAGAAGCATGATGTACTTCAACTGTAAACATGGTGACACAAAAGAGGAATGATTAGAAAGGTAAAGAGGATGTTGGTGCTGCAGCTGCAACTGTGAAAAAGAGAAAAGGTCAGTTGTTTTTCTTATATTTAGGGTTTTCCAAACACAAGACAGTCAGCATCATACACATCGCTGTTAGTTCTCAGCACCTCCTCCCATGACATCATGCGTGCCGTAAAAGACAGTGGTCGTGGACCAACCTGTAATCTGTCTTTAAGCAAAGTCATGGCAACATTTTATGACTCTGTAATCACCCAATCTGACACTGTGAGCATTGCAACAGACAAAAATATCTTGTAGTCTGAACCCAGCATGAGATGTGACACTAGTCTGATAATTACATGTGAGACACATAACCCACTTAACCCACATGGCATCTAATCACTATGGGCTCATCGCTTCAGACCTTGTTATTCTTAAGTAGGCCCTGGAGAGTCAGACACTTGTCCACATTTTGTCAACTCCTCCATAGAGCAACTTCTCTGCATGTTTGATTTATTAAACTGACAGTCGTATTGGTATCAGAAATTTGCAAACTAAATCCAAGATTGACACATTGCTTCCTTCAGTCATGTGTCAATACAGTATGTTTTATAAGTCACACATTAATTAGAACTAATGCGGAAGTTGTCATCATAACCCAAACAGATTATGATACAAATAAGGAGTGTGTGTGTCTGACTTGCGTGTAATATTTTTTACATTTTTGTTAGTTGACTCAGTTGCCGCTCCATGACCCTCTTTGTTTTTGTTTGGCACAGTGAGGACATACTGTTCATGAGATGAATTCTTAATACTTTGACAGAGGGAACTCCGTTTGCTGGCGGCGTTTTCCGAATGCGTCTGGTCCTAGGGAAGGACTTCCCTGCGGTTCCACCCAAGGGGTATTTCCTGACCAAGATTTTTCACCCCAATGTGGGTCACAAGGGAGAAATCTGTGTCAACGTGCTGAAGAGGGACTGGAAGGCAGAACTCGGCCTCAGACACGTCTTACTCGTAAGTAGGACGATCAGTCGTTGTTGCACTTACTGTCAGCTGCGTCACTGTCGCTACTTTTACATCTTTATCTCCTTTTATTTCCCCACAGACAATCAAGTGTCTTCTCATCCATCCGAATCCCGAGTCGGCTCTGAACGAAGAGGCCGGGCGTTTGCTGTTGGAGGACTATGCAGAATATGAGTCCCGAGCTCGTCTGCTCACAGAGATCCACGCCATGGGCGGGACCTCTGGGGCACCTCAGGACCCTAATGACGGCCCACAGCCGAAGAAGCATGCAGGTGACCCCATGAAGAGAGCAGGGCCCAGCGCAGCAGCTGTGCCTGCTGCTCTGGGTAACGGAGCGAACGGAGCCAGCACCACCAGCAGCAATAGCAACAGCAGTAGTAGCACTAATAATGTAGCAGGGAAAAAGAAAGCAGATAAAAAGCGTGCATTGAGGCGACTTTAATACCTCCACGAAATTCTCAGTGTGTGTGTGTGTGTGTGTGTACGTGTGCGAGCGCGGGAGTGTGTAAATATAAATATTGAAGTGTGCTGACAATGTTTTTGTTCCCTATTTTCTGAGTCTTTCTACCACCTGTCCAGACTGTCCACTTTGTACTCATACCGTAACTTCTGTTTTGCCTTCAAGTTGTTGTTGTTATTTCCATACCTAAAGACATGATGACAACACCGTCACTGCTGAAATCATGCCATCCGTTGTACTTTGCCCTCGGCCTAGTGTGAATATACGATACAGGGAAAACATGGCCTCGAACATCTGTCCATTTATGAGACATAACCACCATCGTCTCTGACTTTATCAGCTCTTTTAAAAGTGCTTCTTGGTGAATGCTGCTGTGATGGTACTGTGTACTGCTCAGCCAGGCTCACTGGTGAGTCCCAACCAGGATGATACTTTAATTAAAGTCAGGTTTTTAAAATAAACTCAAAGGAAATAATGGTAGAAGTTGCTAAGAATTGTACATGAAGTCAGTGGGTTCATGATTAGGGTAGAAATATTGATACCGTCACACAAACTTGTGTCATCTTTTTAAGTAGTATTTTTCATATTGTGATCTGAATGAGATAAAGGAATGGCAGTGGAGTATAAAACGTCTGTTATATTCATGGAATCTCATCCCCCTCTTTTCATTTATTTTCTAAAATGGTTTCACTGTCCAGTATTTTCAAAAGTTGTTTATAATTGACATGTTCATATTCAGCTGTCTTGTGGTTGTGTGTGAAGACCTAGATCAGTGGCTGTTAGGGAATGGGGTAGGTTGCCAGATTACTTTTATAAAAACACTTTAAAAAAACAACAGAATCATGTATTCTCTGTATTAAGCATACAGTGGTGTGACTCGCTTTAACTTTCCCTCCTTCCCTACAAAGCAGCGTGTTCTCTCAGATACCCAGCTCCCCTGACCAGCCATGTGGGTACCTGAGAAGACATCTGTAGGATAAAGAAACTTCCACGTTTGATAGAATTTGTCTCCCCCCTCTCACCCATTGCACTGGCAGGGTTTCCTGGGCAGGTTTTCTCTCTGTACTAAATGCATGCGGGGCCTACATTTCCCAAGGAAACACACTGAAGCGCTGTCTTAATTTGGATGGAAAATGTGCCTCTGAATCTCCTGTCGTTGTGCAGACTGTCGGCTGGATATTTTGTGTCCATTTTAAATTATTTAAATTAATAAAACATTGAAATATGACAAGTTAAATGAAGAAAATGAGTCATATTTGCTCTTTTATGTGGAGTTCCTTTGCATGCATAATCATGTATGATGGTTGCACTTCAGCTGTTGTGCAATCATGTATCAGTATAGCTGAGGATGGATGCCAGCATCTGCTTTCACCGCTCAGTAATGTACAACAGCACTTTATTTGGATGTTTATAGTGGTCTCCTGCTCTGCAGTGATGGAATAACCATTATGAAGAAATCAGTAATTGCATCCACCCCAGCAAAGCAGTGAGTGAAAGTGCACCCGGTAGAGCGTCATTGGACCATCTAATGAAGGGCTCCACCAGCCTCTGCTGCAGACATGCAGCAGCCCACCCACCTGTGTAGAAATAGAAGCCTGCCATGCAGGTAATTATCAGGCCCGTCTTAGACACCTGGGAGTCCGCATAACCCTTAACACCTTCCCCAAGCCCCATTTTGGAAGTGCTTACCTCCTTCTCCACCTGGCATCCACCTCCACATGTGTGCTAAAGCCATTTTCCCTGCTGTTATGTGAAAACAAAAGATGATGTGTATGGTGAATCTGCTCTGATGCAGTGTGGGTCAGGTGTAAAGGGAATGCATGCTGGCTTCCCTGTGTCACATGCACAGTATAATGCTGTTAATTATGATTCATGCTGTATTCCTAATGTGTGATCACTAATTCATGCAACACAATCCTCTGTTAAAATCTACAGCACAACCTAAATCCGGTTTCATTCATGTGCTGCTGCTGCTGTGAGCATCGTGAGGAGGCTGTTACTGTATGTGACGGTGGCATGAAGCCAAACAACTTCCATCTCTCACACGCACCACACTACATTTCATCCACTCTTCCCCTTTCCTTTTTCACGTCTCGCACGTCTCCAACTGTCCCTGCTCGCCTTAAACTTGAAGAAATCTGAATTACCAATGCAGGTCCGGGTCTAATTGACAGTTTCGTTCACGCTCCAGTGTTAAAGCTTTTGCGCCAATCCTCTCCCCTTCCCCGTTTTCATCGCTTTCATAATTGCCACCAACATAATGACACAGTTGCTGTGGCAACCATGTCTCTCTTTTTCTCTCTCTCACTCACACACACACACAAAGAAAAACACACTTTTGGATCTCGGAGGTCTTCCGCTGAAATGCTTTAATTTAGCAGGCTGAAGTTTTACCCCACAGTTTTTATATCTGTGTCTCAACCCCGCGTGTTAGTTTTCAAAGAAAGAGCAGCAGCTTTAAATCTGATTGATATTGATTTGTCTGCAGTGGCATTAAAATGTAGGTCTCCAGAGTCATTCAATTAAAGAGGCAAATGAAATGGAGGGGGGTAGAGATGAACGCCACCAGTTGAATGGGCCTAATGACCATCAGCGCCGAGCAGCGCGGAGTTTAGAGTCTCATCAGCACCAGTGTGAGCGACCAATCACAGCGCTCCCCCACCGGCGGACCTCCGTGAGGCCAGTCGCAGTTAGGCGGTGTAACCTATCTCGCTTGGAAATTATGAAGGGAACCAGCTTCGGTCGATTCTAGATGGAGAAAAGTTAAATTGGGGGATTTTTTTTTAATTCCCGGTGACGCGTCTTGTCATTTGGAGCGCCTGTATCACTGCGCGTCCTCCAGGGTTATAGTTGCACTGTAACTTGTGCTGTAACAAACAGACGGAATTTTCCGATGTGGTGTTTTAGTTGAATCGCTTTGTCACATGTATCAGAAAATCTCAGAACATCTCGTCTTGCTCTGACTCTCTTTCTCTGAGTCCTGCTTGCGCTTTTTTTTGTACCTCTCTCCGCCGCGATAATGGATTATCAATAACCGGATGGAAGAGCGATTGAGATCTGCAGTACAAGTGCGATAAACAATTTAAAACAGGTGGCAGATCCAGCAACAGTTCAAGCTGTCCTGATCATCCTCTGCCACAATAACAGGCTGCCATCTGAGAGACGCTGAGATACAGTGCGCAGGCTCTCGCGCTCCTCTCCAGCATCAAACCCCAGAGCAACGCACAGGTAAGGCACGACATTATGCACCTTTTATTGATGCAACACCAATTACCTTATACCGCGCAAAACTGTTTCATACCTTCATTATGTGTTTCTGTGTGTGTGGAAATGTGAGTTTTGGCGTGTGTTTGGACGCATCAGCTGTGTTGGAGGCTGTCAAACAAAACATTTGGATGAAAGCTGCGCCACAGAAACATCTTCAGGGCTTTACACCGGGCAGACATGTTTTTCTTTATCACTTAAACACTTTAATCGACAGCACATTGCGACATTAGGAACATATTGATAATAAGAGCGGCACACCGACACATCCAGCCGGACTACACACACACACAAACACACACACACACCGGCACGGATACACCCACGCACTCTTAGCCTACTGATACATGCAAGTCATTTCCATAACCTGCATGCTTGTTCATTCCAAGTTGCAACTTATTAACCTAATGAAGGCTGGGTTGTATTCTGGAGAGTCCGTGTCCAAATGCAAAGTCATTGCGCAGCATTTATTTTACTGATAAGCCTGAAGCTGCTGCGCTGCCTTCACTGTCATTAAATGTCTTTTGCATCCACATGACAGGATTATTTTTTCTCCTTCACTGATTCACATCTCAGTGCGCTCTTTTTTCTCTTGCAACAGCATGTCCTAAAGAAAAAAGAGGCCATTTTGTTTCATTTCCAACGAACACCTGTTGAAATCGTTGCATGCACAGCCGTCTGCACAGCTGGTCAGCATCCTGCAATGAAACTAAGGGGAGCCGTTTGGTTCATTTGCTTTGATAGGATTGCTTGCAATGAAAAGGAATCCGCGGAGATGGTTTCTCTCTCCCTCCAGTGGCCATGCAACTCAGGGGATGCATCTTCACACTTGTGAATGTGTTGCCCTTCACCCTTTAGTTCCCATCCTCGCTTACTGCATTGCTTCAGCAGCACAGTATAGACATACCTACAGGAAAACATTTGCTTCTGCTGTAGGTTGAGTCACTTTTTTTGGCTAGAATTCATATCCTGAATTCTCATTGTTAGAAAGCTGTAATTGCACATTTACTGGGAGTGGTTTGGACATCATACAGGTCAGGAAAAATCCTGAAGTAAACTGAGTCAGGGCAGCAGGGGAAAAAATGGTAATGGAAGTTGAGCGGCGAGGCATCGGTGTCATCTTGTCGAGCAAGAGACGGGCAGATGTGACTTTGAAATCTGGTTGGGCTAATGGGTGTAGATTGGATTCTGCCTCCCTTCTCTTTCACTGCCTCTTTCACTCACACACAGACAGAGCTGCAGTGCTATTCTGAGAGAGTTAGCTGCCTCAACCCACGCACAGAATCTGAGAAAGAGAGAGAAAGGCAGGAACGAGGGAGAAAAGAGGAGAAGGAGGGAGCAAGAGGAATAAAGGGGAGAGAAAGACTACAAGGAGGTGTACAGAATGCCTACTATGGTCTCTCTCTCTCTCACACACACACACACGCAAAGCCTTTGTACAGTTTCACATTCTCCCCCCTTTAAGTGTTCTAACAGCGGCTGATTTACAGTCTTGATTAGCACTCTCTTCTTGTGTGTGGCATTGACTGTATTTGCAGATCTGTTTGGCGGTGCTGTTTGTGTGATGTGCTATGTTGTATTGGTAAGTGCTGGGAGAAATGTACTTGATTCTGTGCCACCCACACACCGCCCTCCCACTCATGGTCGTCTCTGCATCTATACCTCTGGCTCTTCCCGCTCGCCACAATCTCTTTGCTCATTTAAATCCCTACCCTGCATTTATCCCTCTGCTCTCCTTTCTCTCTCTTTCTCCATCACTGGCTTTTCTGGAGCCTCCTGCAACCAAACAGGCACACTAACACACACACTCGGCCTCTCACAGTGCACACACACACACAGTGCAGTTAATAAACTGTCAGTTAGTGAGGTTGCAAAGCTTCTCCCCTAATCATGCCTTCTTGTTTTGTATTGCAGCGGACACTCTGGCATTCCAGGTTTGTCGACGTGCAAACCCGAAGAGAATTCTGGAAATCACGCAGAACATTTAGATACGCCAGAAGAACACTTTTGGAACATTAGTCAGTGGGAGAACTGCTGTCTTTGTGTCTCTGTGTTTTTCCTGCGCTGAACTCTCCTCAGAAGGTCAGAGGAGCATGTAACTGAAACAAGTGGAGCCCTCGGTGATTTCAGCATTCTGTCTCCCCCATCTGTGCCTACATTCTCCGCCACAGATAGGGACGTTTTTGATAATTACATATAATTATAATTTCTGTGGGAGACAGATCTGCCTCTGTCTATTATTGCCAACACCTCCAACACAATAACTTCACACATTTACATATTTCTCAACAAAAGTGATATTCTTTGAACCTCAGAGACAAATCAGGAATAATTTTACTTGGAGAGACATGTCACATGGAGACGCAATGTGCCATTCACTTCATATCTAATTAGTGATACGGCTGAATGACACGGGTAACTTTTTGTGCCTAAAAGCTGAATAGAGAGCATTTAAAAATCCGTGACGTTTGCCTCATTTTCTAATGTGTTTCACAGGCTGGGAGGCTTGGTTTATGCTTACTCCTAATTTTCAGCTGTTACAGTCTTCTAGCACTTAAGCTGAGCCTCCCTCATTATCACCCCCCCCCGGCCCAATCACACTAACAGTGCGTGCCAGGCGAGTACAGATGCACATTAATCCAAGCGTAGAAAAGATTGAGATTAAGTACACGGTGTATCTATAGATGTGATGAGTGCCTCGAACAAGTTAACATGGAGATACGTCCCTGCGCCACAGAAACTTAACGCCATATATAGACAGTTTATTATCAGTGGTGCAGTCTGATTTGATTGTTTACAATGCAGGTAAACACATAATTTCAACGAGAATTACAAATTTAATACATTCTTCCAGGAAGGAGTTGCTCGCAGCTTAAATAAGTGCCAATTCTGAATGTATGTTGTGCCGTCCAGGAATGAAAAAAGCAGACAAAACTGTTTACATTTGATAAAACACTACAACTAGACAACTGTCCATGTGCCATGATCAGCACAGGAATGTACAGGACTGCCATATTTTACTGAGAACTCCCTGCTACTAATTTTTACTGGCCTTTGTGGTTACAAGAAAATTAATTCCATCCAGCAGCACGTCAGATATTTGTTCTTTTGTTCAGTGCGAAGTGTAGAACAAGGCATTAAGGACTAAAAGCATGAAGATTGTTGTTTTCAATTTGTCCTTTTTACAAAGCTGCCTCCATTTTAGTGTTCTAGACTTGAGAGGGCAAAAGATGAAGTCATTACGCATGCAGAGTTGCTTTCTAGCAGCAAATTAAAACCATTTTAATACCATTATCGACAATTATTGAAACCTACCAACTGTTTTTGATAGTGTTAGTCCATTTGTATTTGTACAGTTCCTGACCTTTTCTAATATTACACCATATAAATGCTCAGCTTCTGACAAAACAGAAAAGCAGGCTTCGAATTTTCCTCGTCCAGCATTGCTGAATGAAACTACTGATACATCATCAATATCCAGTAGGTTGTACATGCTACTTGAATATTTCACATGCCATTTTAGTGGGTTAAACTGCAAAAGCGGATACAGTGTTGTAACTGCATTGACTCAACAACAGAAAATAGATCTCTTAGTCATGTAAAAATGACGCCCACCACCAATCTTCGAGTCCTCGCTGTCTCCCTGCTCTCCCTCCTTACTGCCCCGCTCACCACTGTTGTGGAGACCTCTCCGTCCCCCCCTCCTCAGCACATAGACCGCTCAGGGAGGCCTTTCACCGAGCAGCCCAAGATCGGCCCTAGCCCTTCTCTCCTGCTCCTCGCCATGCAGGCCAATATCAGGCCAGCTGCCCTGCAAGGCAGGACCAAAACCCCTGAGAACTTTCCAGAAACCTCAGAGGGAGTTCTGGAGGCGCCTCCAAGACCCCTTCCCCAGATCATGTTCCCCAAGAATGTGACATCATCAGAGGCCCTTGCACCTCCCTTAGGCGCCGCCCAGGTGGCGCCCATTCGACCACGCATGATGGACATATGGATGGATGTATGTCGGGGTTATTATGACGTAATGGGACACTTTGACAGCGCTTTCAACTGCTCCAAGGACACCTTCGTCTTTTGCTGCGGAACCTGCCACTACCGCTTCTGCTGCCCAGAGCGAAGTCGGCAACTGGAGCAGGACAGCTGTAAAAACTATGACTCTCCAGACTGGGCCAAGCCGCAGACAGATGCCATGATATTACCAGAGGAATTAGGTAATGACCCAGACTTTGATCCACTGAAGCAGCAGAGCCATAACACGGGCTTCGTCATCGGAGGCGTGATCGTGTTCATGGTGGCTGTCGCCGTGGGCATCAAGGTGGTCTTCAACAAGGTGCAACAGGAAGCCAACCAAAGGGACCTCAACATGCCCAGGTGAGGCTTTGAGAAGATTCATCACCTCTCGCTGCTGCATTCGCTGCTTCATTCAATGTATGATGCTGTAATGAAATTAGGTTTTCAGGACTCCATAAATGGCCCAGATTCATCATTCTGGGCTCAGAATAATGTTGTTAGTCATCAGATGAAACATATTTGATCTTCATCGAGTGGCTGCTGCAGAATTCATGGTTGTTTTGGTTCCTCTGGGCTTTTTATCACATGTATGGCCCGTAATCTTGGCAATAAGGATTTGCGTTTTGAATTTTGTCCTGGTTGCAGTTTTCTATCTTGGGCTTCAGTAGTGAAGGATGATGGTTGTAGACTGATACAGAGCATTGGTCAACCCCTTAAAGAATGCAAATTATTAATAGTGTATGGTTTTCTTCTTATTCTGCCGGGTTGAGAACATTGTACCCAATTTATGATCAAATCATGAGGGGTTGTGAAAAAGGCTGCAGGGGCATAGGTTTCATTTCAGTAAACAGGTGGTTTGGGGGTCCTGCCAGAAAATTTTAAGCATCAAACACTTAATTTCCTGCATTCTGGTGAATTTTTTGCACTAGTATATGGTGTAAATGGCTTTAATTTTGCCAAAATAAAAGCCCTATGCTTCTGTCATGTTTTTGTTGGGGGTAACAGATGCACGTTCTAAAAATCGAGTCCAAATCTCCAAATATAAAGGACTGATTACAACACAATTTAGATACAGTAATTAGTATTTTAAACGTATAAGATGGATGTTTATTAAAATGCCCTCAAATCAGATGAGATATATTTATCCTCACATGAACATGCTGGTCCTGAATAGACTGCTAACTTCATGAATTTGATGTGCTATGTAAGTCAGCCAGCCATTAGCCACTAGTTTATTGCCAGTTTCATCATGCGTTTCCCTTTTTGCTTGTGTTTATTAAATCATTAGAGCCCTTGTCGACATGTTGCGGCACCAGTCGAGCCCAGTCCAGCAGGATGAGAGGAACAACAGCGTGGCTCTGACTGTAGGGGACGGAACAGGGACACTGGGGAGACCTCCGAAAAATCTTTACGCTCCAGGACTGCCCAGCAAGGACAACAGATGTGAGGGTTTAGGGTGTTTTACAGCATCAGTGAATAGCACAATCAGAGGCACAATCACAGCTTTTGTGACTGCATCGTCTGTGTGTGTCGAGGCACGTCATGTTTGTCACATCTGCATGTGAACCCAGGTTGTTTTCTGTGTCTCACCATCAAGATATCTTTGTAGCCATTAAGCATTATGGGGGAAAAAAGGAAGAGGAATCTGGAGATTAGATGCTTTTGAAATCTCTACGTGTACGTGACGATGTTGAGAAGCTCTGTGTATGTGTGTTGATGTGACGATACATGAATGTCTATAGATGGCTTGATCTTTTTATGTTAGAGGATCATTGAACTGATAACTACCTGGCATCCATTTTGAGCTGATTACCTTATGTTCTTCTGACTTGCAGTGGGCAATTTGCAACACAATTTCATCCACCCATCAGGCACCAGCCCCAAACACACCGCAACTATCGGTAAGGCAGCTGGTGAAAGCCAGGCTCCTATGTAAATTACATGTAATCACCACAATGCTTCATTGACTTTGTTCTTTTTTGTTTAAGCTCAAAAGTAGACTCATTCATCCCAACAATAATAATGATTATCAGAGCTTTGGTTGCTTGTGTTAGCGTTGAAAGCAAGTTAAAAATCTGTCTGTTCCAGTGAATGTTAGCAGTTTCACACACACAGCTACGTGCGGTGCGCTATATCCAGAGGAGCAAATCTCATTTAACACACAGTCGTTTTCTCCCTGTGGTCTCTGTAGAACGCACCCCTCGGATGAACAATGCTCAGCTGGCAGCTGGAGGCACCCTGCTTTCCAGTAAGCACAACAACACCAAATCCCAGCCTTCCTTCCACCACTCCCTGCACAACCTGGCTCAGCTGCCGCCGTCCTATGAGAGCGCCACCAAGCCTGAGCTCAACAGATACTCCTCGCTCAAACGCCTTGGTAAGTACCTTCAAATGTACCAGCCTGTCTGCCCCTCTCCCCTCGCAGCTGCTTCATGAGTACTGAACGTGGTGACATGCTTGACACTGTGGCACAAAGTGCAGGATGCGTCATTATGTGCTGATGCTTTTTGCTGTGGTGATAAACAATTCAGAGAAATTTTGTTTGGCTTCCAGAGAAAGGTCTTGATGAGTACTCGTCTGGTTACTGCACCACCAAGCGCCGGCCCCACACAGCCCAGCCAGCCCTTCAGTCCTCTCAGCACCACCTCCACTGGGGTGGAGACTACACCCTCAGTGGGAGAGGAACCCTCCCAAGGCATGCAGTCCGTCCCTGGATCCCGCCGCCGCCTTCTGGCATGCCTGCCTCGCCCACCCCCAATCCGTACCCTTTGGATCCTCCGGAGCCCCAGTTCAACCCCAATTATGACACTCTCTCCAAGCCTGCAAGGAAAGTGAAGTCCACTGACCAGCTGCTCAACATGGGTGATGTCCCTGGCAACACGGGGACCCTGTCCAGGTTGTCCAAGAACCAGCAACACCAGTACTACAAAGCCATGGCTGCCTCCAATAAGAACTCCAACACGCAGACCCTCACCAGGAAGCCCGGGGACAGGCAGAACAGGGAGGACAGGCAGAACAGGGAGGACAGGATGAACAGGGAGGACAGGATGAACAGGGAGGACAGGATGAACAGAGAGGACAGGATGAACAGAGAGGACAGGATGAACAGGGAGGACAGGCAGAACAGGGAGGAGAGACAGGACCGGCTGCTCATGTCCCCAGATCATTTGGAGGAGAGGATGGGTGGGATGGGGGTTGTAGATCCATACGCCCACACAGGAGGCATTGTCCCCACGCTGCCTCGCCAGCAGAAGGCCCAGTCCCAGCAGAACGTCTGCGCTACGCCCTCTCTTGACCGACACCACATGATCAAGATGAACTCTCACCCCACATCTGGACGGGAGCAGGAGAGGAACACAGCCATGACGGGGCACATGAGCGGGGGCATGGGCTGGGGCGGGGCGGGGGCAGGGGCGCCGGAGGGCCCTGGGGCAGGGGTAGTCATGGGAACGGGAACACTAGGGGGCCACAGCGCCAGGAGGATGGCTTTTGCAGCGAAAAGGCAGAACACCATTGAGCAGCTACATTTCATACCAGGAGGGGGCGGCGGGGGGTCGGCAGGAAGTGGAGGGGGAGGAAGTCAGGGGATCAGGACGGGGAGTAAAAATGAGGTGACGGTGTGAGGTTTGTGCCTAATGTAGAGTTTACCCCTCATCAGCGGTGTGGGAATAGATCACCCTTCTGCATTTAACTATTACATATACAACTACAAGAAATAAACCTAGCAGTATCAAGTATAGTAACGGTATAACGTGCTTAGGCTATTCAAATTAGTGTTATCTTGTAATTAAATAGCTTCAATATGATTACTTAATTAAAAATCTAGGTGGGGAATGTCTGTTCCAATTATGTGATAGCCTATATCAGCCATATTTTGTAATAAGATTTGCCATACTGCCATATACAGCGGTGCCATTACTTGTAGAAAGACTGACTGAAAGGGTGAAACAAAACCAACAGAAGTGTCGTTGATAATTTTGTTTTTATATATGTTTTTCAAAAAGTACTCAGGAGCCATATTAGATAGGAAACGAGATTATATATATATATATACATATATATACATTCATATATATGTATATATTAAATACATATTAGGTTGATGAAGAGGAGGACCATCATGTGGAATATTGTATCACAGAATTTAACAGAGAATCAAGCCAACTACCTGCTGAACTGTCGACCTGCTCAGCTCTCACCGACTATGATTTATCAGACTGAAGCTCATGGGGTGAGAAGCAGATGAGTGTGAATGAACTGCGTGTGTCTGGCGAGGGATTTTGGAGATCTGACACCCTCATCCTGACACGGGGAGACAGAACTGATTTTTGTCGCCTCCCATGTAAATGAGCGGACGAGGCGGGGGCTGCCTCTGACTGGGACACTGCAGCCTGACACTGTTGACAGGACTTCGCGCCCGATTTAAACCGCGAACGCTCCCACATTACCAATCTGATGCCTGGGTTGCCTAGTTTTCCATGTGACCTTAGATCCCCAGAGGGAATCACACTCTGATTCACAACACAGGAGTGTAAACTGACGTTAGAGCATGGGTGTGTTTCCCCTCTAATGTCCCCATCTCTAGATCAGGACCTAACTGTAAAAAAACAATGGGCTACCAAATAATATAGAGCCATCTGTCACGTTATTACAGAAAAACATCTTGACGAGTCAAGAGACGCGTGTGTTCAGTTTACCAATAACAAAAAGAGGCAACGTGCTTTAATGCATGTTGTGCATGGAGAGCAAAGGTTTTTCTACAGAGCACAAGTGAAGCGTGACGCAGAGGTTGCACTTACACAACTGTCCTTCAAAGCCATTTATGGAGATACAAAGAAAATACCACAGAGGAAGCTGGTCTGACAATCACCGTTTTATTATTCTCACCAGGTGACAAATTATACAAGTCAGTGATATTTTGTACAGTCAAAGGGATTGGCTTCAGAGCAAGCCAAAAAAAAAACCCCACCTCTGAGTCAGGAGAGAGAAGGCGACCTGAGGCCTTCTCCTGCGTGGCTCCGTACGCCGTAAGAGACTCGGATGGTTAAGGAAGCCCTCGCCATCCTCATGACGAAGACCTTGCTGTATCATAACGCACTTCAGCCAGTATGAGTAAAAAAAATAAAAAAAATACAAACAAAAAAAAAAAACAGAAAAGAAAAAAAAATCATCAATAACAATGCTTATCAATACTAAGGGCTATCCTATCCTATATACTGTAGTATGTGATATCTGTGGTCCATATAAAATGCTATCTCTTTCTCTTGATTTTGTGTTGATATTGTCATGATGTATTAAGTATTAATGTGTACAAAAAACAAGAGCAATTTAAGCACAGTTCAAAGAGAAACACAGAGACAAAAAAGAAAACTTTGCACAAATCTATCCCCTGATATTTGCACCAGATACGGACTTTGTATCGTGTCCTCGAGGTTTACATTCTGTACAGCGTGACTGATCAGTGGAGGGTGTTGTATCGAGACAGACAGAGGATCGTTTTCTTTTTAATCAACATGAAATCAGAGATAATTACGCAGGCGATCAAAGAAGAAACTGCTCGGTTTACGTTGGGCGACGTGAGAGGATACAGAGGTGAAATACTGCCAAACAGAAACACAGATTTCATTCAGACAATCTTCCTATACACAGTGCTAAATGTAGTTGTTATGAATATGATGGAGTGTTATTATTAATAATTATTATAACTGTTATGGTTATTATTAACAATTATCTTATGATGTGATGTTCTTTTACTTGGTGGGATTTAAGTGTTTATTGTTTTTTAGATAACTAGCATTCTCATGACTAGTTGTTTTTTTTTTTGTTTTGTTTTTTTTTCATACATCTGGTCATAAATTTTTAAGAACATTCCAGATCTTGATGCATGCCAGCTCCATTTCATTGAGAGGCAGTTACAGTATGCCGGGATTTTAAGGTCATCGACGCTTATTATATGGCCAATTCTCCAGCTGTGTGTACTGTGCCTAGACATCGGCCTTACGACTTCTTGATCTCAAGTGATTACTTAGGTTTCCACTCGGGTACAAAAATATCTATTGAAAAAATCTGCAGCCTTCTAAACGTATGTGTAGACGACAATGTTTCAACCGCCAGTGATGGATAGATGTGTTCAGAACGAGTTATTAGGAGTTATTAGCCAGACTGGAGACGGCCTGTTGTCTCCACTGCAGCAGCCTGACCCAGAAACATATTATGGGTTGTACACACAAAGCCCGTAATGCCATAATGTGTGTGTGTTCGGATGAATGTTTGTTACAAAGGGGTGGAGAAAAGCAGAGGTCTAATGGAAACCTGAATGCTTTGAGTGTCTTTTTCAGGGAAATAGGATGGATGACATACAGTAGTATTAGATTTTTTTAATAGAGCCACAAAAGGTCTGTAGCAAAGTCTGTAATATCTCACAAGCCATATCCATCGAAACTCATCATCACGATTTTATAAATGGTTAATCTAATTTGTGCAAGTATTGTATTTTGTATAGCTAGTACAATCAGAATATTTTGAGTGATCTCTTCGGCATTAATTTGAGGATTCAACAAATTATGTGTTAGTATTTAATGAATTGTACAGTGCCAAACTCATAACATTTTGTTGTCTTTCTATTGCCATAGGCCTCCTACAAGACTACAGGGGTTGTTTATTTTTCACAACTGAGAACTAACACACGGGCAAGCGAAGCTACAGGAGCTAGTTGTGAGACAGAAATGAATGAATATGGTGTGTGTTTTTACCATTATGAATTCATTTAGAGAGAGGATGGTTTTAATGGCCACCTGAAATGTGAAGCATTACTAACGGTAAATTGTACGAACAGGGACCGTGTCCACTAATGAAATTCATGGATTTATTTTCATGCCTATAAATTTCAAAACGACCCTTTTGTTATTGTTCAATGCATTGATCCCCTTGGATACGACAGTGACTTACCAAGAATTTGTATAATAAAGTTGGTGGGAAAAAAAATGTTTTGGTTTCTTGAATTAATGCTCGAGAATATATTCAGTCTCTGTTTCTCTACCTGAAACGTCTGAATGGTTCTGAACCTACAACCTCAGGCACATCTAGGGGAGACCAGGGTTGGTTGGCACACGTTTCACCCTCTGCCGCACTTCCAGAGCATAATTTATGTTGGAATATTCTAAACAGCAACAAATGAAGGTCTCAGCTATACATATATATGTTTTAATGTGCATGAGTGTTTCTTAAAATTAGGTGAATCATGATCAAAGTCAGGTTTTGCATTTGTGTCAACCAGCTTCATCAGGGTGTTCAAATACAATGTTGAAATGCTTTAGTTACAAAAAACAAAGCAACCAAAAGAAACAATTTGAACATTTAATTCAAACAAACACCCGAAAACATCATTATTTAATAGAATATTTGCCCAGTTTTTAAACCAAACATGATTTTTAGCAATCATCAGTAGAAATGTCTAATTACTGCTGCCATTGACCATTCAAAATAATAACTGATGATAGTTTTAATCTCTCAAAATACAGTTACAACCCTTAATTTTACAATACAATTGCCTGATGAGTTATTTACCCTCAGAATAAAAAGTTCTTTTGTAGTAATAATAATCACAATCAATAATTACTCACTCACACACATACGCACACATATTTTGCACATTAATGTGAAACAGTTATTAATTCTTGAGTGTCCCTGTCTAATAAACCAGCCATCACATGACCAGATCACACCTCTCTAAACGTGTATATTTGAGATTATACATCATTTATAATTTATTAATTTTGGTGTAGGTTTGTTTCAACACAGAGGAAGGGGGACACGTATAAAATGGAGCAATTGGGGCTCCTTCACCAGAATATTTTGAGCTTCCTGCATTTTGGAAAATTCAAATTGTAGGTTATGTCAGTGAAACTAAAGTGCCGACCAACCCTGCTCACATTTGACTGACTTTGTAAATAAATTATGTGAGCCAGTTGCCATCACTCATCACAGACTTTCAAATCTCATATCAAAATGTAGCTGATTCCTTTGTCTATCAATTCAAAGTCACACATTTCCAATATCTTTAGTCCATAGACCACCTTTTAAATTGCAATTCAGTGTTACCCTCACCAAAAAGTTAGTGACGTCTAGATGTTTTAACACAGTAGATGAGTGCAGGTGAAGAAAGCAGACATTTTAATGTTACATTTTTGTCTCTGTGACCTTCACAGGATGAGAAAAGAACCATGTGCCAACAAACCCTTTACTGTTGTTCAGTGATGTTGGTATATTTTCTTATCTTACAATGGATATTCCAAAGCTAACAAGCACTGAAGTGTCTCAGCTGTATATCTAACAATTATGATTCAAATTATAATTTATCAATTGTAAATTATAATGTAATTGCTCCTCTGCATTAATGGGTACTGGATAATATCAGCAAACCCTCTCAAGTGGTTAGCCGTTCAAACCATATCTAAGATTTAAAAGTTTATCACGCTTCAGGTAGACATCTGTGTTCACTGTTTGCACAGAGCCAATTCAGGACCGTCTTAAGTGGGAATAATTTGGTGTGTAATAAGGCTCTTTTTGAAATAAAACTAATTGCAGGCCAATGAACTACTCTGGAGAGAATTTTGCTGGTGGTCGAGGAAATATTCTGATCCTTTACAAGTAGCAAGACTGCAAAATAGGCCCAAAAATACTCGATTATAGGCATAGCATGACATTTGACGTTCAGCACAGGATTATCGTGGCCATAACAGTTTACAATAACGGTATTATCGCAATATCTATTGGAAAAAAAGCATAATACGAACAGTATCAGTCAAATGTGCCTCTAACTTTGATGACTGTACATTCTGTCTCTTTCTTTGTCAAATGAACTACACTCAAACTACGAGTGTAGGGAGGTGGAAAGAGAGAGTCTGTGACCATAACTGAACAAAATCATACAAAAGGAGTGATTACACTTAATAGATAGTGAAAAGGCAACCAGATGGCAGTGGGGGAGGGAGACAAAGAGAGAACGAAAAGAAACGGAAATGATTTAAGAGGCGCTGAATTACTTACAAGTTATTATCATATGTTTATTATTAACATGGTATAAAAATTTCATTTTTTAATACCACAATAATCGTCAATATCAGTATATATTGCAAGCCCCCTACTCCATTATAAGTAGACGTCCTGCAGTGAGGGTTTGGTTGTAAGTATTGTCAGTAAAATGGACTTAAAGTATCAAAAGAAAAAGTACTCATGAAGCAGATTGGATTATTATTACTGATGCATTTATGTGTGAATCGGGTGAAGCTGGTCAAGATGGAGCTAGTTGAAATTGAAACAAATTTTATATACGATTTAGCAGCTTAATCCATATCAGTGTATCATATTTTAGGGGCCAATCTATGTTTTGTATGTAAAGTCTATTATCTAAAGTTCAAATTGATCTTGTGGAGTCAAATATTTCCCTTGTATTGCAGAGGAGAGTAGTATGAAATGGAAATAACCTATTCAAGTAAAATACAGGTACCTCAATATTGTATTAGTACTTGAGTAGATTTCCTTTTTTTATTTAACCTTTATTTAACCAGACAAACCTCTTGAGGTAAAAAAAAATCTCTTTTTCAAGACTATCATGGCCAAGACAGGCAGCAACATGAGTTACAGACAGACAACATAGAACAAAAATACAGAATGAAAATGTACAGCTCTAAAACAAGCAATATAACCACAGGATTATCGTGGCCAAAACAGTGTAACAATAACAATACTCACTTCTCCTTGCTCTTTCAACAACATTTTGTACCACTTGTCATTGATTATTGTTAAAAAAAAAAACCTCCTTGTTGACACTATTTTTGCAAAAACATCTACCTCACTTTGGGAACACAGACACTATAGAACAAAAATACAGAATGAAAATGTACAGCTCTAAAACAAGCAATATAACCACAGGATTATCGTGGTCAAAACAGTGTAACAATA